TATATATATATATATACATACAAAGTATATATATATATATATTTACATGGGCTGAGCCCCTGATTCTGTCTTTCCTCCCCGTCTTCATCCCTTCTTCTGCGTGCAACATCTGCACATCTGAGCTGGGTGGAAAACAACCGAACGAGTAAACAGCCTAACACACACACACGCACACACACACACACGCACACACACACACACACAGATGCTCCCAGTATGATGCATTAATAATTAATCCATCCTTTTCGGTCCTCCGTCCTCCGGACTCTGCTCCTTGTGCACATTTAAAAGTAGGAATTGTTCTCATGTTCACATTAACATTCCATCTCCCGGAGACGAGCCTTCATGTGGCCGGCTGGTGGCTTGGCTCGTGTCTCAGTGTCCATGTGCACGAAGACACGCTCACGCTGATGTCTCCGAGTCTTCTCATCAACACTGATGCCTGGCTGCAGCCGCTCTCAGACCAACAGGAATCCCATTGTCCCGGGCCACGCTGAGGCCTCCTGGTTGGAGCGGCGTGCACGTGGAGCTGGTTCTAAACTGGTTCCAGGTTCTGGCCCTGGCACGCTCTGAGGGAAACCCCCTGCGCTGGACTCCCCTGATCCACATGTTGCAGCTTGTTATGATGAAAGTCAGATCCTGTGATTCTTCTGAGATGAACCTTAAAATGTGACCGTCACTGGGAGGGACCGTGTTGGGACTGGGAGACTGTGTTGGGGTTTTTACAACAATTAATCAAATGTAGGAACTTTTAACTCACCGTGTTTTTATTTTCAGCTTTTTTAAGACGAGGAAACATTTTCTCTTTTATGGACTGAACCTGTGATTAGAAAAACTGTTGTAACATTTACCTGTGTATATTTCTGTGTTTATACAATTTATTGTTTAAAACCCTGCCAATAATTAGAGTCAACTCTGTTAGCAAAATATCTCATGAACCCTTTACAAAACCGAACTTTAAGAACGTTCACATTGGAAGCAGCTCTACGAGCTTTTAGCTTTTGAAGTCAACCCAATTCAAGATGGCCATCACAGCGTACACAATCACTTTCCTGTTTCTCTTTATTATGATCGTAACTTCACTGTTCCTTAGGGTTTGTTCTTTGGAGTGTAGCTCCAGCAATGTTTGTGCTATTTCAACAGTTCATACATCAAAACATTCAGCTCATGGAGGACATGTCTGCTAAGAGTTTTGGTGCTTCTGAAATTTACACTTTTCTACTTTTTAGCTTATTTTGGTCATTTAGTTCTAACTGAAAATGAATGGAGCACTGTTCAACTTTGTTAAAACTTGCTTTTTGCTTTCTATTTTATCATTTTAATGCTATTAAAACTTCTGCTTGTGCTAATTCTACCCAGTTTTATGCTAGTACCGCCTTGCTTTTACTTGTTTTCTGCCCTGGACGAGCTAGCTCTGCAACTGTAATGATAATCCTAAAAATGCTGCAGATGCTAATGGAAATATTTCAGCAGCTTTCAGCTCAATTATTCAGCAATAAGCACTCACACTGCATTTTTGTAGAAAATTGTAATTTTTCCAGTAATTATCAGTCCGGTTGAGTAAATCCAGAGCTAAAGTTTGATGTGGTAGTAGCTGAGACTCGTTTCCAATGCGTGCGCTGTGAGGGACATCGTGTGATGACGGAAAGTGAAACTGTGTCATGTGGACCAGTTTCTTTGCAGTTCCTGTGCCATCCATCCAGATGTGTCCCGTAGGTAGCCTTCACTGCTGTGTCTCAAGCCAACCTCCTGATGGACTCTCAGAAGCTTTTAACACGTGCACAACAATCATCATGCGCAACAATCAAACGCTGTGCATGTTTAAACCTCGTGCGCTGAGAATTTATTGGTTTCTCATCTCAGAATGTTATGAGTCCATGAGCAGGTCGAGTTTGAGCGTCGCCCCGGCAGACACTCGGATGACCTCTCGGTTCTTCAGACGTGGCACGGCTAGCTGTTTGCGTTTGTGAAGCCGTAAAGTACAGGTCTGCTCTCATCCGCTCTATAAAAGCATTCAAAGACTTATAATTGGAATAAACAATATCTCCCAGTTAATTGCCGGGCAGGGCTAATTAAAGAAAGGCTGTGGTCCTTTAAATACGCTGCTGGGACACAAGAATGCAGGACACAATTCAAACAGGGAGAAAATAGCTGAGACTCTGTGTAATTTTGGTCGTGGACCACAGGACAAAAAATGTATAATTTAAGCCAAAAAATATTCATCTAACATAAGTGCTTGTTGCAAAAAAACAACATGTATTTATTTGGGTGAAGCTCAGGAGGGGTGTAGGGGTGAGGACTGTGTTGCCTGGATGTGTGCACGCATGGAGGTGAGTCCTCGCTCCGGCGCCCCGTTCGGCGTTGGTCTTTGAAGGCTCCGGAGTGGGGCACTGATGTGGCCTGAGTGTGGCTCGCTGCTTTCCACACATCCTCGTCAGACACAGAAAGACCTCCCCAGATCTCTGAGGTTACGAGTATGACTAACAGCATTCATCTGCAAACCAGAGCAAATGCTCGCCATACCACTGAGCGGGCGGTGCAGGCTGCAGAGTCCTCCCCGTCAGACCCGTCTCAACAGGCTGCTCAGTCCAGCCCTGGCTTCACAGCAAACTGCAGAAACAGGATGTTGTTGTTCCCACGTTCAGAAAAACACATCCGTGCAGCAGATTGTGTCTGAGATTATCAGCTGGAATTAAAGACCTGGCGTTCCTGGGAGGAATGCAGATCGTCTGCTACCTTTCACATCAAAACATGACGACATGTCTTATCAGGACTGGATGTAACTGACTGTCGGATCCTTTTACACCAGATTCCTGCTCAACATTTGTAAAACTTACGGAGCTAGAGTCATTTCTGTGTTGCCTGATGACAATGTGCCGTTAGCCATCGTGGTTTGTTGACTCCAAAAGTTAAGAAATTGTGAATTTGCATCCAGTAATTGATTTTCAAGAAAATCAATAAAATATCTCCAGTGTTTTCTGCTTGATACTAATAACACTACTATATTTATATATACAGTATAAATGTATATATGCACATCATAATATGTGGTGGCCATCTTGGATTTGACGTGGCACACAATTTTTGAAAGTGATATTTCTTACCCTTATAACAACACACCAAAATGAAAGGCAGTGCCTTGCTCATAGGCATCGCAACAATTAAATGTGATGGGGACGTGTCCCCCCCCACATTTAAAAAATATTCATTCAGACACCCCCCCCCCTCCACACACACACACACACACACACACATTTACTGTGAAATATTAGTTCGCCCAGCACCGTTTCTACTGGTGAACAAATCCATTCCACTTGATTGACAGGAGAAAACTCAAACCACTAAAAGTCCACTCCATGTTTTCCTGGTTACCTACAACAGCTCCACACCTCAGTGTTTCTCCGAGGTCATTCGAGGTCATCCGTCAATATTTATAAGAACTAAATTATCAGAAATACGAGTGAAAGGCTGCGCGCTCTTTCTCCTTCCCCTGCTGTTCGGGTAGTTGTGATAATCTGATCGTATCGGTGTGTGATCGCCCACGAGCCGGATTAAACAACAGATTTATTACGGGGGGATATTGGTGAGGACGCACAGCAGCTTTGTAGTTAGTTTAAAAATAGATAACCAAAACAGGAATTAAATGAATTAATTCATGATAGTAAATGACACGAGGAAGACGTTGAACACGCATTGCGCTCACTTTCAACCCAACTGAGTTCTGCTCCGCCTCTTTTGTTTCTGCTCAAATCTCACACCTGAGCAGGACGAAGACGCTTCTCCTGTGATTTATGAACCGTTGAGGAACAACTGGTCTGTGCAGAACTGGTTCTGAATGGACCCACCTGGAACAGGTGAGAACATCAAAAACCGTCAGCGTTATTTTATTTTGAAAAGCGTAAAGATGTGGCGAGTCAGAGACGTCAGAATAATATTCGTGTTCCGTAGCAGGCATAGTGTGACGTTTGTAATGTTTCTCATTAGTGAACCGCTGCTTTTATTTTAAGGAATCTTGAAAAGTCTTCAGCCCCACGTCCTCAGCTGGGCCTGGTCTTCTTCACGTCGTTGTTAACATCTTACAACAACACGAGGCGACGCCTCGATGCTTCGGGAGACGACTGCAGTAAACGACACCGTCCAGCTGCAATGGCTGCCATGTGTGCCACGATCAACTAAAGAGCTGCGCTTTTCTTCATAAACGTTCTCGCCCGTTTTCCACACGCTGTATTTTTGTCTCGCGGGGACATTCCTGTCGCGTCTTTAATGACTTTTACAAGCTGTCTGATCCTCTGTTGTGTTTTTGAAGCATTCTTCTAATTGTGGCCGTTAAAACATGGCCTGCTCTGAACCCACAACATCTGCCCTTCAGAGGAAGACTCTCGTGTCAGGAGCCATGCTTCACTCGTAGTTTAATTTAGACCTCACCTACAAACTACCTGCTGCGTTTCTATGGTTGAGAAATGTGCCTTCACTTTCTGCAGAGCACGTTGGGTCCATTTGGTCCAAGCTTGAACTTCCTGCCTGACGTGTGCTGCGTCAACATTCCCACTGAACGCCCCTCACTCCTGATGCAGTTCATTCTTATCGCCTCTTCCTGAGCTGCGTGACGGAGGGACCTTCTCGTGGGGTTTCTACTTGTACCTAATCGTTTGAACAGAAGAACGCTGAAGAGCTGGAAACTGGACCCAGGATGAACCAGAGCTGAACAAGCTGATGATTCTCCCTGATCTTCATTCAACCTTTATTTATAAATGTTAGTCCCATTGAGCCTCAGGGACCCATTTACAAGAGAGACCTGAATATCTTGGCAGATTTCTTTTGGTTTACCCATGATGCCTCACAAACAAGCAGCACGTCCGAGGTGTGCCTCCAATCAATGAATTCATCAGAAGCTTCCAAAGCACTTGTATCACGTGTTTACGAGCACAGTGATGTGTGTGTGTGTGCGTGCGTGTGCGTGCGTGTGCGTGTGACTGACCGTGGGCCTGTGCAGCTGAGCTGTGGGAGTAGCCAAGAGCCAGCAGAGCCGTCTCCACCAGCTGAGAGAAGAGGATGTCCTTCCTGACGAGCACAAACTCTGCGTGCTCCTCTCTTCCCTCGTATCCATCGGGCTGGATCCCTCCGTCCGACTGCTCCACCACACAGAAGACAGGAATCATCATACCTGTTGAAGGAACAGATGACGGATGGGCGCAGTTCTTCCAGACAGCAAACATGGACCACTGGTTTCTGTGACGGTACCTTGGCAGGTGTTAACAGCCGCAGCAGATAATCGTTATAACTCTTCACAGATATGCAAAGCTAACATTCAAAACATCTGTAACAGCAGCAGCTGTCTGATTTAGGCTAATAGACACAACGGAGACAAATGTGGGAGAGGACCAGCAGAAAATGACAAGTGCTCCAAACAGCCGACTTTTCAGAACAATATTTTAGAGAAAGGACAAAAATGTGCTCATTATTGTTGGAGGAGGAATTCTGAATTGTTGTGGATCCAGAACAATAAAAGCTTCATTGTTGTTTTCTTTTAAAAGAGTGAATTTATGTGCTGTATTTTTTTTAGGTTTTCTTGTGCTTGTAAAGTTAATTTTAGTCTTTTCTCGTAAATAAAAGCGTAAAACGAGTATGTTTTTAAAAACAGTCACTAAGTAGGGGGTGGATCGCCCGTTTGGACCATGAATGGCCTGAAAGGCTGATCAAGTCCTGAAGAAGTGTCCAGCAGAAACAGGTTCATCGAAGGTTTGAAGGCACGCTGATGAAGTCCATCAAACTGTACGCAGATGATACCGCGTTATATTCCTTTAAAGTCCACTTTCCCTTTCTACATCATTACTTCAACGCTGGCTATAAGTAAAGTTTGATCAATGATTGTCCTAAAGTGCACTCTTTAGTCTTCAGTAAAGGTTTGTGCTGTGTTGTGACATGAACTGGAAAATAAGAGTTGGTTTGTCTTTTACTTAATATTGCTCATTTTGAGACGGTTTATTTATTCTGTTTTGCTTTTAAGTTTAAAATTATGATTAAAAAGAGTCACTTGTATATTAGCAGGTCTGCGTTAGTCTCTTACACCTGCAGACCAGAATTATAACTTGCAGTCATGAGCTGCAAAAGAGAAATCGCTCTATCTCAGCCGGCGGTGCTTTGATCGCCCTCGGTCTGAAGAGATCACGTCTGTGCAGATCTCAGATCTGTTCCGTCTGAATATTGTTTCTGTTTTAAGATTTGTTACTGAAATCATCTGAGAAGTCACTGGCTTATAAAGAGAAATCAAATAAAAACCATTGGTCTCTGCTGGATGATGTCCAGAACCAGACCTGGTTTTAACTCAGGGGCCCCTGAGGGCCCAAAGATCACGACCATCCTGACCTTCAGCCTCGTCCTTTGAGCTCAGAGATTTCTGCAGATTCTTCTAATCTGTGGATCAGATTATGAACTGTCTGTTGCAGACTGAACCTCTTCTCTTCTGACAGGTCCGGTCTCTCTAAGTCTCTCCTCATACCCAGCCCTGACAAACAGCCTCGTTCGGTACTAAATGCTCCTCGAACCAGACCACCACAAAATACAAGCATTGATTCAGAGACACTTAAAAACTACAGATGAATTAGAAACTCGTTCCGAGAATACCACGGATGTCCAGGTTCCTGTCTGTGCCGTCAGCCTCAGAATCCACAACATCACCAATTTATTTCAGAGTACTCTACCTCCTCACGACCATGCTGCCACGACCTTTGAGCATCTGGGCCAGTTGTGGTCAAAAACCACCGTTAGTTAATAGATAAATAAAAATCTTAGCCTTAATATTTATTGTTTTTCTTGCAGACAAAGGCAGCAGAACTGAATGTCATCTTCATCTTCTTGAATCTGAAGAATGCATGATTCATGTGTTACGAGCCATGTGGGGAACCCCCAGGACCTTCTGCGTCTTCAGGGAAGGCCCATACGATAAAGACATATGAAATAATACGTTTACATTTTTGATTCTTATTCAACTTTATAATATAGTTTCCTATTTGTTGCTAAATTCACTAATTTGTTTCAATTGCTTTGCAGTTGAGAAAGAAACATTTTTAATTCATGAAATGCAGCTGTCCAAACAGATCCTTTAAATGTGTGTTCCCAGGTCCAAACGTGTCTGAAGCTTCTCTCTCGTTGGTCAGGACTTCAGTGTCAGGAGAGAAGGCCGAGCTCAGAGTCTCTGCAGGAGGAGTTTGTTTAAATGAATCGGTCACAGTGTGGGTGCAGAGCAAACCATGGGACTCAGAGAAGACTTTGGTTTATTTGTGAAAGCCGGTGATGCATTCATTTACACCCTGTAAATTCACAAATCTACACTGAATTTGTAGTTTAACATAAAAAAGACAATGGTTAAATATCCCATTTAGGTTTACACTGATTGAAGTTGCTCTAAAAAATGAAGGTTAAGTTTATCCTGTTAACTTTCAATATTAAAGTTGTGATTTGGTCTCATTTAGAAAATTTAGAGAAACAGTAATTTATGTGGGTTTCTGTTCAATTTTAGTTTACGTTGCTGAAATTACCTGATGTACTTGAACACGGGAGACAGCCGCAGGGGCTGCTGGGTAATCGTGGGACAGAAATGTGTGGACTTTTACAGGTCAGGTTTAGTGCTGGGTTCTTATTTATGTTCAGGTGACAGTAAAAAAATGAAGCCATAAGATGTTTGTCTTGATGTTTAAAAAGGAGAGACGCACTTCTGGAACAGAAAACAGAAAATGATGTCTTCAGGCCCTGGCCGTAGTGTTTTAGACATTTATCGGTTTGTTAAAATGTTACATGTTGGCACAAGGCCCAGCTCTTCACACACATAAGTTCCTGTGCGTGCACAAAACGCAGCGAGCCAAGCGTTGACACGTACGGTCATGGCTTCAGGGGGTTGTTGGACCCAAGAATACAAACCAAAGAAGAGTTCAAACAAAATTCAAATAAACTTCATTTTAAGAAAAACAAAGTTGTAAAAGAGAGTTTTTCTTTCCACCGTCTCCTTTGTGCTCGCTCAGAACGGGAGACGAAGTGAAGGTTCAACATAATCTGCTGCTTCTTAGATACAGAACTTTAATAACTGCTTTATTTGTGTGAATGTTCCTGTCCAGTGTCCTGAGACGACGTCTGTTGTGAGTTGGTGCTTTATAAATAACTGAACTGAGTTGAATTTAAAAAATGAAAGCTGAAGAGGAGGCACGACAAGCCAACGACGCTCAGCTGGTGAGTGACTGGACTGGGGCTGATGGGAAGACTGGCAGCATCTGCGACTAATCAAAGCCTGGAGCAGGTGCGACTGGGCGTGGCAGCACGATACAGGACTAACAAAGTAAAATACGCAGATCCTGACGGATATCGTTCGAAGGATGTTGAGAAACGAGCTTTTGTTCTCACGCACGTTGCCTCGTTGTATTTGAGGGGATTGTTTGAATAAATGAGTTGGTTCATTCAGAAAGTTGTTGTTTCTCTCACGGGACGTGGGTCTGTTCATGAGACACGTGAAGAGTTCAGGTCTGACCGCGCAGGGGTTCGGTTCTGTACAGTTTTGGACTTGACACCAGAATATGAGCTCCTTTTCTAACTTGCCCTTTTTAAAACTAAATCATAAAATATTGAAGAAAGGCACTATTTCTCCTTTTCGTGTCTACATTCAGCAACAATCTAATTCCTCAGATTTATCCAGTCACATCCACCAGCAGCGTTCCTGAGAGGTTCTTTGGTTTTGGGCCACCTGTCCAACGACGGTCCCCTGAAGAAATGATCGACGTGGAGCATTAGGCAGCGTCCCAGCTCTAATAAAACAGGGCACAGCTTTGTCTTTTACCATATGGCTACCACACAAGCCCCCCCCAGCTCGTACACACCACGAGCACTCGCTCAGCATTAGCCCCCTGCCAGCCCTTGTTTTAATCAGTCAATTCCAATATTTCTATTTCCTCCTCATTAATCTCTCAGTCCTCTGGGCTCTCCTGGAGTGAATTACACACTGCAGCCCCGCGCCAATTCAAGTAAGTGAATTTCCCCCAACAGAGAAATATAACTGTCAACACAGAGCAGCCCCCCCCCCCCCCCACCACCACCACCACCACCACCACCACCCCACCACCACCAGTGCCACTCTGTCTTCTCTCTTGGTGTCCCACTGACTGATCTGCTCTGAATGATGGGCTGTTCCCTCAAACCTCTGATCCTGCTAACAGTATCTGTTGTGTGTGGGTGGGGGTGGGGGGTGGGGGGCTTTTAATGGCAGCAGTAGAGGAGACATGTCTGGTTTCCAGTCTTTGAATACAACACGCCATTATTAAAAGCTCAGCTGGTCCTCCACGTTTACTCCTTCTTTACATTATCACCTGCAGCCAAAGGTGGAGGTGTTGATGGAGGTGGTGGAGGTGTTCATGGAGCTGGTGGAGGTGGTGGAGGTGTTGATGGAGGTGGTGGAAGTGTTGATGGAAGTGTTGATGGAGGTGTTTATGGAGGTGGTGGAGGTGTTGATGGAGGTGTTGATGAAGGTGATGGAGGTGTTGATGAAGGTGATGGAGGTGTTGATGGAGGGGCTTATGGAGGTGGTGGAGGTGTTGATGGAGGGGCTTATGGAGGTGGTGGAGGTGGTGGAGGTGTTGATGGAGGTGGAGGAGGTGGTGATAATGTGTTCCCTGTGGTTAACTATATTTGTGGGTCCAACATTTCTTATCCATCATCTGTATAAAAACTGTTTCTTCATGATCAGCTCATATTTGATCAACTTGATTGTGTCACAGTTGGATGTTTTGGACCCAGACTGCAGACCAGCACCAGAAGCTCTAAGAACAACTAAAACACAGTTCTTTATTTAGCAAAACCAAAAATGCTGAAGCGACGCCATAACTTCCAGTAACTCGAGGGCCACACGGAGAATAAACTCTGGAGGGCCGGAGCGTGAAGGTCGGCAGTGCTGGTGAGTAGAGACACAATGACTGGATACACTGGACCACTGGAAAGTGGAGATACCTGAGCTGACTGGGTACAGGAGAGAGTGGCAGGCTGCCTGGAATAATCCTGGCCAACTATAGACCTATATCTAATCTAACTTTCATCTCAAATATTCTAGAGAAAATAGTTGCAGGTCAGTTACATGATCATCTGCAAAGAAATAATCTGAAGAGTTTCAGTCAGGGTTCAAAATGGCTGCCACAGCCAACTAACCTTAATAAAGAGTAAAATGGATATTAAGTTGTTGTATATACTGTGCTAACATTTGATGTGGTTGTAGCTGAGAGTCATTTACCACACATTCTCTCACAAGACGTCCCACAAGATCGCACGAAATGTTTTCAAGGTTTGACCAAATTGCTACACCTTCTTTTCAACATATCAATCAATCAATCACTCAATCAATCAATCAGTCTATAATTGTTTTAGCTCTTTGCAACAACCAAAAGGTGCACAAAGTGCTTCACAGTGCAAAAGTTAAAACAAATCATAAAAGCAATACTAAAATGCCAGAGCACCACTTGGTATTAAAAGTCTGTCTGAATAAAAACATTTTATGATCAGATTTAAAAAGGCCCAGATCAATGATGGAGCTCAAGGTCGTTGGTTCCAGAGTCTGGGTGCAACGGTCACCCTAATGTTTGTATTTGGACTTAAGGACAAGCAGTAAAGATGTATTAGTTGATCTTAAGATCTGCTCATCGACTGCTACAGTATCAGCCAATTAAGATGAAGTGAAACTATTAAGAGCATTGACAGTAAACAACAAGAGTTTAAAATCAAATCTAAAATGCAGTGGAAGCCAGTGGAGAAAGAATAAAACAGGAGTGATGTGCTCACATCTGGGAGTGTTTTTTACAAGTTGAAGACGTCTGATGGAGGTTTGGGAGATTCCTACACAGAGCATTGCATTAGTCAAGCCTTCATCTGATCAAAGCATGAACATTTTATTTTTCAGGTCGGAGTGATTTAAAAAAGGCTTGACTTTGGTTAAAAGATGTAACTGATAAAAGCTGGTCTTTACAGAGGCTGGGTTAATCAAACTCCAAATTTTAGTGGGTCTGAACTCTGATGTCAGAGCACACAAGTTACAGGGAGCATCATCATCAGAAAAAAAATACACTCAGTCTTCCTCTCTTGTAAAAACAGAAAGCTTGGTGAAATCACTAACGTCAGCAATAGTCAATAAAATAAGCTTGAAGGTCACTAATTCTAGGCTTCATAACTGATCCAAGTGGCAGCATATACAGGGACAAAAAATGAGAGGACCAAGAATAGAGCTCTGGGGTACACCACAAAAAAAGGCAGTATAGGAAAACAAATAAACAACCATGACAGAAAAAGATAACATGAGATGATCTCAGGCTAAAACGTTGTAACGAAAGGCAGCCGGTGATCTGCATTCCCTGAAGGTATAACAGTCCTTTAATAATTCTTTATGTTGATTTATTTCATTGAAACCTACAGAATCATTTCTCTTCACTAGCTTTACTACAAAACAAGCGTTGTCTTATTAAAGTAAATGCCATCGTGTGAGGAAAGATTCCCGCCTAAATTTTAACATTATGCTTTAGTATAAAACAAACCAGACGATGTCAGACAAACTGATCCGTTTTCTGGATGGTTTCACGTGTCCTCCCTGCTGGAGTCAGATTTCTTGTGGGTTTTATTACACAACAATAAAACAAACCATTCTGTTTATTTTTCCAGTTTGGACAAAACTTGACAGCTTCGATACTTATTTTGTACGTTTCTTCTTTTGTGGCACAACATATAAATACAGTGTGTATTTTGGTTTTCTATAATGGTCATGAGGACACGTCTGTTCCCATCATCAATGGGTTCAAAGATGAACACGCCCAGTGGCTAAACGTGGGACCGACAGCGTCGTTAGAGTGTCAACGGTAATTTAGCTCAACATAAAGACAGAATGCACACGTTTGAATGAAAACCCATCCTCGTCTGTGTAGCAGCTTCTACAGAGTTTATCCTGAGCACATCTGACTCAGCAGAGAGACGTTCGTGAACACCGTCCTTTTTTCACTTACAGGGTTTTATCAGGCTGTAATAAAACTAAAACTAACTGCTACAAAATGATTTAAATCTAACCACAAGTTATCAGGCTACAATAAAACTAAAACTAACTGCTACAAAATGATTTAAATCTAAGCACAAGTCTACAAAAACACAGATTCCACTATACTGGTAAGTGTTAACACAACGCCAACATGGAAAGACCTCAGCAATGATCTCAGAAAAGTGTCTGGAAGGGGTCAAAGGTCATTTCCAAACTATTTACCGTCAATCATTTTACAAAGAGAAAAAATGATTCACAAGTGGAAAATCTTTCAGGCAGTCTTCCCAAGGGTGGCAGCAAATTCACCCGGAAGGTAAGACAGTGCACTGCTCAGAGACACACTACAGGCCTCAGTTAGAAGGTTAAAGGTCAAAGGTCATTGCCTCTTCGCTCTAAAAAAAACAACATGGCAGCATGACTTTGGGTTGGCAACTTTCATCTGGCGGAACCACAAGACTTCTAGGACAACGTCTTTTGGACACATGAGACCAAAATAGAAACTACCCATAATGCACAGCAGCAAACACCTAACAGCTCCTCCCAGCAGTGAGCACGGTGGTGGAGGGCTGATGGTTTGGGCTCCTTGCAGTCATTGAGTGGACCAGGAACTCCTCTGAACACGTACGAGCCAAACACAAGTCCATTTGTCCAACAGCTACAGCTTGAGACAAACAGTCCAGCAGGACAATGATCCTAAACACATCAGCTAACAGAACCAAGGTGCTGCAACGGTGCAGTGAGTCCAGAACCTCAGCCTGACTGAAATGCTGTGGTGAGACCTTCAGAGAGCAGAGTTCAATGAACTGAAGAAACAGTGAAAAGAAAATGGGCCGAAGACTCCTCCACAACCATAAGAGAAACAGATACAGTCCAATAAAAATCACTGAGGGTTCTGCAGCTGAAGGAGGTTCTATCAGTTACAGTGGAGCCTTCAGCGCCTTCAGAGAAGGCCCAAGAATTCAGCAGATAGGAAATGTTACTTTTGAAATATCCTGATGCTGCTCAATAATCCTGGTAGAAAAATCTAAAAAAGTTAAATCTGGTCCTCTGGACATTCAAAATGTCCAGAGGACCAGATTTAACTCTAGATTAGTAACTTTTGAAAGTTTTTTTTATATAATTTTAAACTATTCTTGCATTTTTTTTTGCTAATTTCTCCTAATTTTGTAAAACAAAAATTAAAAAAATACTTCTTTACAGTTGAGTAAGACTTTTTTTATTCATGAAAATCCAGTTGGCCAGTCAGCTGGGGGGCG